GTCTGGCTGAGCTGGAATTTGTGATCCTCCTACCTCAGTCCCTCCCATAGCTGGGAAAATTGGAGTTTGCTACCATGCCTGGCTTTTCCAATCTTGTCTACATTTTAAAGATCAATGTATCTCCTCATTACTGACCTATAAGGATTCTTTATATATTCTAGATCCAAATCTTTAATCAGATACATGATCTCCAGATATTTTCTTTCAGGTCTTTCCCCAACAATGCCTTTTTCAGCCCAGCTTTGTAGAACTTTGAGAAAGTCTGACATGTCAATTTCTTTTGTGAATTCTGGTACTGGTGCTTTGTCTTTTATAGAAGTCAGCTTTTTGTTATTCTTTTATGATAGAAAGAGGTCTATGTGCCTCACAGGTTTGGAGTGGGAGCCCCACAGCACCTCCAGGGTCTGCAGAGGCCCCCCCGGCTGCACCCCTCATGGTAGGAGTTGAGCATTCTCTTGGTCTATGTATTCTCACCCCTCTCTTTATAGACCACCGGATTCATCATGGGGGCTCCTTATACTGACCTTGTTTAATCCAGTTTAATCCTGCTCCAAAGGCTCTGCCTCAAAGACTTTGGGAACTAAACTCCTGCTGAGGAGTTATGTTACTGAAACTATAGCATCTTTGCTTTGCCCAAAGACACAGAGATTTCCTCCTGTGTTTTTTAGTGGAAGTTTTTTAATTTTTGTTTTTACAATTAGGTCTCTGACTCATTTAGTTTTCATACATGGCGTGAAATAAGAGCTGAAGTCATTATTTGTCTTGTGGCAAATGGAGCCAGCACCACTTGTTGAAAACTCTGTCTGCTGCAGTTTATGTCTTGGATGTCCACAACGGCCAATGCATTGGATCTCCATCCCCAATGTGGTGCTACTGGGAGGTGCAGGAACTTCCAAGGGGTGGGACTGCTGTGAGGTCTTTAGGTCACAGCTTTGTGCCCTGAGAAGAATGGTGGGATCCCAGCCCCCTCTTCACTCATTTTTGTTTTCAGCCATAAGATAAGCAGTTTTCTTCACCACATGCTCCATCTGTGATGGGTTCAAAGGAATAGGGCCAACTGATCATGAACAGAAACTCCAAACTATAAGCCAAAACAAAACTTTCCTTCCACAAGGTTATCACCTTAGGTGTTTTCTTACAGTAACAGAAAACTGACTAACACACTGTCCTTTCTCCTGTTGAATGACCTTGGAACACTTGTTGACCATTTACTGGAAATGGGAGGGTTGTTACCTGACACTCACATCTGTTTCATTGCTCTGTATGATTTTTCTTATACCAGTACAACACCAGGTTGGTTTTGTAGTTTTATAAGCTCTTAACTCAGATAGTATATTTATCAAAGTGTTCATATTTTTTAAAGTTGTTTGGATTATTCAGGATGTGCCTTTCCCTATAAATTTCAAATGTAGTTTTGTTACAGCAAAGTGTTACTGCTCTGTGTTACAGCCCAGTGTTATAGTTGTCGAAAGGTCTCTGGAGGTGAAGAAATGGAAGGTGGCACTTGGAGAGATGGAGGAACCAAGTTTTGTTATGGTGGCAGGCTCAGAGGAGTTCATACTCCAAAGTCTGAGCCCCAAACAGGAATGGAAGCAACCTTATATAGAGATCTATGGAGCAGGGGAATGGGGCCACGTACTGGGGAAGCATACTCACAGAAGGGGAAGGGCAAGAGTTAACAGAAATCTTGATACATCAGGTAGGAACATTGTGCAGCTTGAACAGTTACATTGCTTGAACAGAACATTTTATGGCAAAAACATGGGGGACAGACAAAGGCCTGCCCGGTTGTGAATTATTTCCTCATCAGTTCCAATCAGTCATTCAGTTTGAAAAGAGTTGATGCCTGAAACACATTGAGCCTTCAATGTGTGTGAGTATGGGTCATCTCGCCATTTACTCAGAACTGGAATTTGTCTCATCAGTGTTTCTTAGTGTGCATGCATTATACTTTTGTCAAATTTATTCCTAGATATTTTACTTTTTAATGGTATTGGGAATGAATTTGTTTTCTTAATTTTATTAATCCTTACCCTATTGTGATGAGTCATATTTCTCTTTTCTCTTTCAGGATTTTCTCTTTGCCTTTAGGGGATTGACTATGACATGTCTTCATTTGCTTCTCTATATAATTAGCCAACAAGGGGTTGTTGAGCTTCTTGGAGGTGTAGATTAATGGTTTTAATCAAATTTGGGAAGTTTTAGGTACCTATTTCTTCAAATATTGTTTTCTTCCTCTTGTCTCTTAAAATGTCTCACAAATTTCTAATGTTCTTTGTGTTTTTTAGTTGGGTTACTTCTGTTGATCTATCTTCAAATGCTGCTTTTTCTGTCATCTTGAATCTGTGAGCCCATTCAGTGAATTTTTCACTTTGGTTATTATACCTTTCAATTCCAGAATTTCTACTTGGCTCTTTTTAAAAAAATTATTTCCTCATTAGGATAATCACTTTGTTGAGATATAATTCTATTTTCCTTCAATTCTTTAAATGTAATTTCTTTTAGGTGTTGATAGCCTTTTTCTGTTGAGTCCAACCTCTCTGAACTACTGAAAGACAGTACCTGCTGAATGTCTTTGTTTTCCTGAATATGAGTCATACTTTTCTCTTCTTACATATCTTGTCATTTCTCCATTGAGAGTTGACCATTTTAGGCAACATACTGTAGCAAATTTTTGATCTTCCTTTTTAAAATTTTGCTGTTTGTATTTTTTAAAGCAACTTGGCTAAATAACATCCCCTGTGGTAGATCTCTGCACATTCTTTTAATCTTGTCTTTATTTTTATGCCTGGCTTCTCAGGGGTTTCCTTGTCTGCACAGATTCATGGTGAGCTAAGTGATTGGATACCTCGACTCCAGGGATTTGGCCATTGCTGAGGGATCTTTGTGTGTCTGGAAGTTTATAAATTTCAGACAGTCCCTCATTCTCTGGATCTTCCTGTTAAATTGTGGTCCCCTTTGTGCCCTAGTTTTGCCCTAATCAAGACTCTGATCTCAGCCTTGCTGAGCTGCTGGCCATTCCCAGGTTTTGCGTATGGAGGTGGTTGCTGTCCCTGGTTGCTGCTCTGTGGTAATGTTTGTGCTTTGCTCCAGATCAGCTGAGCCCTTCTTTGGCAGTATATCCTCTGGCTGTCCTGCTTGTCCCTTCTCAGGAAACCAGCACATTGGCTGGCTAGGGAACATGGTCCACCAGTTACTTTCCATGCAAATTTAGCTAAGCATTTCTTGGTTGGACCTGAGGTACATGGGAAAGGCAACAAGGATTCTGTCTAGATTAGGAGAGAACTGCATTTCAATACCCTCAAACTACCCTAGCCAAAATACAAAATTCTCTTCTCTCTCAAGTCTTCACCTCCTAACCTTGCCAATTCCTTCCTATCACCATTGGTCAGATATCTGGGAGCAGATTTTGTTGACTTTTATTTTGTTCTATAACTCAGCTGTTGTTGCACTTATGTGTCTTTTATTTCAGCTTGATTGAATAGGATTGACCAAGATGTTCCACACGTTTAGGTTGCACAATGTAGAGTTCTGATATAGGAGTGCACTGTGAAATGATTGCCGTGGACATGGTTATCTCCTCGCGTAGTTACTGTGTGTGTGTGTGTGCGCGCGTGCATGCACATGTGTGTATGTGTTGAGAACACTTGGCATCTGTCCTGTTAGCTAATTTAGAGTGTGCACTGCAAGATGAGCTGTTGCTCCATGCTGCACAGCTGGTCTCCTGAGCTTCCCCCGATAGCTGAGGGGATGCACTGTGAGCGAGACTTCCTTTCCCTCATACTCAGGCCCTGTAGCAACCATTCTCTCTGTAACCAGAGCCCACATCGAAGGGAGGTTGTGCAGCATTCACCTTTTTATATCTGGCTTATTTCACTTACACTGTCCTCAAGGCTCAACTGCATTGATGCAAATGGCAGAATCTCTTTCCTTTCTAAGGCCAGTAATGCTGCATTATGTGTATTAGTAATATTATAATCTAACAGTATAACCAGCTTTCAGATTTTCCCTAGATGTTCATTTTTTTTTGTTCTTCTCTCTCCTGTGTGTTAGTAGCCTACAAAAAATAATAAACATTTCCCATAAAGCGATTCCAAGGTTGATGTGAGCCATCTGAAGCCTGCTCATTTCATTCCCTTCCGTGGTATCCAGAATGTTTTCCTGAGTCTCAGATGCTTGGTGTGCAGACCCATGAGTGGGAACAATGGGCCATTGATTGGGCCCTCATCTGTTTCCCCAGTGCCTTGATTTCTTTGCTCCCTCATTCTGAGACAGATTGGACAATTATATTCCTGGAGTTCTCTAATACTTTCTTATGTTGTAATTTATTCTTCTTTCAGAGGATCTCATGAGCCTTTGCAAGCTGATCTAAAACAACACTATTTTAAATGATATAATACTGTTAGAAATAATGGAAATGAGAATATTTAAATTTACCTGATCCAATAGAAACTTTTTTCTTGATACTTGCTTCAAAAGTTATATGTTTAACCCACTGAGAAAATAAAATCACCTTGATAGTTAGCTAAGAAGTTTGTAGAGTTTTGTTTTTACAGGGTAACATTGGTAAAATGGAAAGAAAGACAAAAATCAAACAGGGAGATAAAAGTAATAGGAGTAAACAGTGATGTGATAAGTTAGGCTGTGAAGAGACTGGCGACAGAGATGTTCATGGAGGACAGCAGGGGAAACAGGGAGAGACACGCAGACACTTGGTGAAGCATGGACCATGGGGGGATGCAAGCGACCAATGGTGAATACTGACATCGCTGGTACTGAGGCCTTGGTGCTTTCTATGAAAATCAAGGTCACTGCATGGGAGAGTATGTCTGACCACTGCAGATTCAGTGTCATGGGAGGTGACATTGTGATGTCTGTGAGTGTGGTGGGGATGACATCAGGAGTGAGCATCACAGTGACCCTTTTGCTGACACAGTGTGGGTAAGTGTGTGGTCCTCTTTAAGAGCTGCTAAAGACAAGTCAGTGTTCAAACACACAATGCACTGATTCACCTTCCCTTTCCCATGGAGAATTCCCAAAAGTGAATCTCTCAGTCAGTGTGTGTGAGGCGTCCTAGCATCACTGCACAGAGCCCAAGTAGGTTATGTCTGGAGTAAAGCAGGGTTTGCCCTGGGCATGGCTGGGCAGGTTCAAGGCCAAGACCAGGTGCCTGTGGCTCTGGTGAGGATGCTGGGTTGTGCAGGTCATGTGGGATCCTGTGGGATCGAGTGTCAGGCCTGGGTTCACACCAGAGTCAGCAACAGTGGAGTCTTGAGTGGCCAGCCTCCTGCTGCCCCTCTGAGGGGATGCCCCAGAGGGCTAGGGCTCCCCCTAGGCCACCTCTGCAAGGTCCCCAGCATCATTTCCCCACCCTGGACCAAGCCTTACATGTGGACCTTCAGAGACACACACCTAAACCACAGCTGGTGGTGAGTCCAATCTCTTTTTTTATGGCTCATCATAATTTATTTTATGTTAAAATGTATAGCTTTTTTTGGTTTTTGTTTTTTTGAAGTAAGTAAAAAGAGAAAAGATAAATACAAGAGTGTTGCTGGCTCCTATTTTATACAAGGATTTTGCCTCTCCTTTTTGGCCTTTACTGTCACCCTGTACAGGCACAAGGGCCACAAAGAAGGAAGCAATATGAACAGACATAAATAACTTTTTGCTTTTTCAAACATGCAATTTGTAAGCTTAGTTTGAACGATTCACAAGCTACTTCTCTATTTTTCCTTAAAAAATAACTCCAATATTTTATAAAGATAGAAAAATCTACAGATGGAATGAAAATGTAAAGTTAGAGGCATTTTCATAAAATACCAACTTTACACCAAATTCACTATTTTTAAAAACCCTGCCAAGTATTTGGACGTATATGAAATGTTTCAAAACCTGACAGATAAGCACTGAGATATGCTTCATTCAATAAACAGAAGTCTGGATTTATAAAACAGAAAGCTGTCTTTTTCCCCAAAGAAATCTGTCATCAAAATGGAAAAGGGTCTCAACGTTACACCAAACATTTAGCCATAAAACCCTTTTGACTAACCAAGTGGGAATAGCTTTTATAGCTCTTTACAGTTTTATAATTAACAAGAATATAATTTTTTTAAAGCCTCAAATTAGGGTACCCTAATCAAGGCAAAAACCTTAAGAAATGGCTGACTGTTAGCGCCTCACTTGTATAGTACTACAAAATGCACAATCACTGACAGAGTGGCATGCTGAAGTGTCACCTTAAACAAAATATACAATAACTGAAATGCTAAAGGCATTTACATGGACTGGATGGGAAGAAAAAAAGCTCTAGGTTCAATATTAAAATATATAATTTGGGGGCTTGATAGTCACACTGTTTTAAGGGAAGCAGGAACGATAGGTGACTGGTTCCGAATTGTAGTCCAAAGAGAGCCCTTCCTTTGCCAAGGATTTCATATAAAAGTAACAGAAACCAAGGTACCAAAAGAGAGAAAGGAAAAAGAGAAAAGCAAGTTGTATAAGGCTTTCTGCTGCATGCAGTTCTTTTTTTTTTAAATAAGTGGTGCTGATCTCTGTTCTTTAATTCATATTGCAAATTGTTTTCCAGGAAAAAAAAAATCCCACAACTTAAAGAGGTTCCATTAGAACTTTGAGTGATCACTTTACTACATTTATCCACAGTATCAATTACGTGGCTTGATATTTATGTTGATTTTGTCAGACAACAATTCTGTTTTGATTTTCATTTCTTTGATTAGTATCAAGTTGATTTTTATGTAAATTTGTTATCCAATTTAAATTCCTCTTTTATGACTAGTGGTACCTTTTTGCTTTTTCTGATTTGCCGCCATATCTCTTTAAATATGAAACACATCAATCATTTCTTTTTGTCGTATTCATGGGAAGATACTTTCCAGTTTATTTTCCTCTTATAATATTTCACTTTGGAATACTTTCATTGCATTTATAACTAGAAAGTTGTTCTACAGAAGTCTGAATTAAGATTTCACTAATTCTTAGCCTAGATTTTTCTTAGTTTATTGTTTAAGCTATTTAACTGAATATATAAAGATATATATCAGAGAAATAACTATTTTCCCATTATCTGGCAAATTTTAAAATTAACATTTACTGAGTAAACTTCTGGGTTTTGGTGCAATTGCTATACATATGTCCCCTGTCACCTTGTTTTCTGTCATCTGGGATGTACCTCTGTCTCACCTGCACTGTGGTTTTACTTGTTACCCTATTGTTCTCATTATCTTCAAGCACAGCTAACACCTTTTTGTTATTAGCTTCCCCTCCAATTTTCTTGTCTATTCTCTCACACACATTTTAGATTAACTAAAATTAAATTTAAAACAAAAATTCTGAATTTAGGTAAAGTTTGCTAGACAAAATAACTAGAGAAAAATGGAAATCTCCATAATTTTTACTAATCTCTATAGTTCTCTCTGTCTCTCTCTCTCATTTTCATCCTTGAGATTCTTACAGAGTTATTTTTTGTGTTTCTGATTTTCACTCATTGTGAATAGAATTTCATATTATTGTCTGATTAGGTTTGATGGCACTGCTGACATAGAAAACATTGTTTTTGGTAGTAAAATTCAAAATCTAGGTAGCTATGACTTAACCACATTATAGGAACTTTCACAGTGTTTTGGTGTGTCCTGAGGCCCCAGTGCTTTCACAGCACGGTGGTCCTGGGAGCTCCATGGCTCCAGGTGCCTGGTATAGTGAGGTCCACAGGCTGAGCTGCTACCTTCGTCCCTCACCAAGTTGTAGAAGGAAGTTTTTTGCTAGCTATAAATTGGCCCTTAAGCCATCATGGGCCTATGTTTCCCAGCTTTACTAATCCTTTCTTCCTTTTATATACTTTCTGTCTCAAGTCAAATACGCTTTTTGAAACATCCTTTATAATCTTCCAAGATTTCCTGCCTCCCTGTTTTTGTTCACACAGCCACCTTGCTCAACCCCACTCTGTATCTAAATCCTAGCTATTTTTTAGGATTTAACTGAAATGTTCACTTGTCCACAGAGATCAGACGCAACTCTCCTTGGGTTGTCAAACCACTGTCGTTTCTCTTACTGTGTCAGTTAGGGGGTTTGGGTTGTGGGCAGCACAGCTTATTTCTAACTCAGGCCAAGGAAAGGTTTAAGGAATCTGAGAGAATCAATGGCAAGGAAGAAGCTCAGCCTGCTTTGGAAACTGAGTGTCAGGATAGTCAGGATAACAGGTGAATGAAGCCAAGCCCTTTTTCTCTCTCCTGTTAAAAAAAAAAAGGTCAGGGAGCTAAGATAAACTATTAGTATAAATGACAGAAATTAGCATATATATTGAAATATTTTTAAAACAATGGAATATGTCATTTGTGGGTGATATTCTATTTTTTTATAAGAATCCTTTTTGGTTTATGTCTTGTACTGAGTCACTACTTTGAAGATAATACACAGTGTAATAACTTGTTATTCTCTTATTATTTGGTTATAAAATTTGTTTTATATTTCATAAAATAAAGGGAAAAAATCAGCTCAAAATAGACTAAAGACTGAAATGTAGGACCTAAACCTAAGAAACTACTGGAAGAAAGCATAGGGGAAATGGTTCAGGACATTGGAATGGGAAAGGGTTTTTTGGATGAGATCCCAAAGCACAGGAAACCAAAGGGGAAATAAAAAATGGGATTATGTCAATCCAAAAGCTTCAGTTCAGCAAAGGAAACAATCAACAGAGGGCAGACAACCAACAGAATGGGAGAAAATATTTGTAAAATGCACATATAAGAAGGTTTTGACATCCAGAATACATCAGGAACTCCAAGAACTCAATAGAGAAAAAACTACATAACCCAACTGCAACATGGGCAACAGATCTGAACAGACATTTCTCAAAAGAAGACAGGCAAACACCCAACTGTGCCTGAAAAATGATCAACATCACTGATCATCAGGGAGATATGAATCAAAACCATGATGAGATATCACAGTAGGAATGGATGTTAAGGAAGAGACACAGCTACCAGGTGCCGGCAAGGTCATGGAGGGCTACTCCCAGAAGCACATGCCACCTTGAACCCAACGGTGGCTGCTGTGCCTTCTTCCTGGTCTTTAGCTCCGGAACAGCTGGAAATGGACTTTTCTTACTTAAAAACCACTCCCTGTGGTATTTTATTGTAGCAGCTCTAAAAGCCTAAGACACAACTTCCCTAATGTTCATTTTATTTGTTTTTAAAGAGATTGTCTTTGTTTTCTTTACCTTTATTTATATTCCTAATTCTCAGCTTCTAAAGATTCTGCTCACAAATTATTTTTATCCTTTAGAGTTTGAGGTTTAAGAAAACAGTAGAATTCTTCCCCAGTGGACAAATCTTTCCCACTTTCTCTCTATGTCTGTGATGAATGAGAATAAGCTAGGAGAAAAAGTGTGTAGCTTTTCATTTTGATTATGAATTTAATCACTGGTTTATATAGACAAAAATTTTAGCTTATTCACTTGAGGATTTCCATCCATTCATTCTTTCATGTATTCATTCTCAAATTTAAATTTTTGTAGCACCTTCTGCTAGAGAGTTGGGAATGTGAGTGGAAGGAGCAGATGGGGGCTGAGGTGAGCGGCAGGTCCAGGGCAGGCAGGAACGTGCCTGGGGCAGTGCAGGGTACCGTGAGTGTAGAGAGCAGGTCAATCAACTTACATTGGAGACTTAGAGCCAGGAACGGAGCCTGGAGGAGGAGGTCAGCACCACATCAAGTCCTGAGGGTCACAGAAGCTGCCAGGTACAGAAGCGGATAGACAGGGCCCGAAAGGAGAGCAGTGCATGAGGCCCAGGGGCAGAATGTATTTAAGAAACGGCACACATTACTGTTTTTATTTAACTAATTTATAGAGAACTTAGTATGTGCCAGACTCTGTTCCAAGTGTTTTATATTTCAATTCATCTAAGGTCTTTTACTGTGTGTTTAGATTGTGGCTGGCAAACCAACAGCCTGTAGATAGCATCCAGCCCACTGTCTGATGGTGTAAAGTGCTGCTCATTGTCATGTGATATCAGCAGCTGCTTTGATGTTACAATGGCAAAGGCAAGAATTGCAGCAGAGAGCATACAACTCATAAAGTCTCAGGGATTGTGATCTGGGCCTTCACATAGAAGCTTGCCAGTTGCTCATGTGGAACTTGGCCTACCAAGGAACCTGGAGGCGGCAGGGACCAGGGCAGGGCTATGGAGAGAGTAGGTTTACAGAAGAAGACCAAGGTACCAGGGCATGGTAGTGTAGGGTGTTGTGGCTGCACCCAATGAGCCACATAGCCAGCAGTGGTCAGCAAGAAATGGTTCTGTCCCCTCAGACCATGGCAGCACTCCTGTTCCACCCACTCTGCATATCTTTGTAAAGCTCTTTTCTTAAAACCCCATACATTTTTTTAAGGGAGAGAAGCTCACCATTGGAAGTCAACAGACCACACAATCCATAAGTGCAATGGAGAAAACAGCTTGAGGACTGAAGAAATGAAAAGTGCAAGCAAATAACATTTATTAGATTTTTTTTGAAATTAACCTGAGCAGAAGGCAGAAATCATCATTCTGAGCAAAGGTATGATTTAAATGAAGCCTGGAAATAGCATCAGAGGAAATCAATGTGTTGTTTCTGTTTTCAACTTTCTAGACTCAGTAAAAGAGGGGAGAATGGGAGTGTTCGACAGTCCTGATAGAAGAGAGACCAGAAGTGGGACCCAGGTGTCAGGGGCCCATGGCCACTCACCTGCCCCTGTCTCTTTCTTCAGAAAGCTCCTCATGCCATCCCAGAGGGTGCAGATTTGGGTCTCCAAGCCCACTCAGCCTCCTCCTACCAGTCATGGAAGGATTAAATGAAGATATTAAAGTTTCCATCCTGGAAAATGAACAATTAAGAATATTACCTTAGCAGAGGGAAAAGACAGTTGGAAAGGAGGAGGATGACACAGGCATGGCTGGGGTCTCTGGCTCCTGACAAGGGTCTCCAGCCAACTGTGTCCCCAAAGCTGGTCCATCCAGCAATCATGGAAGACTCAGAAAGCCTCCTCCTTTGTCTTGCCACCTGCTTCTTGAGAATCCCAAGAGAGTCCCAGTCTGTGTGTCCCAGAGGCAGGGGCCCAGCATGATTCTTGAATGTTAGACCACAGTCTTTTTCTCCCTTTAACTGTACCACTGGATGAGATTGCTTTCCATGAGGTCCAAGAGCATCATGTCCTGGTGGTATTCTGGTCTCTGGGCAGAGGTTTGTGCATGGTGCTGTAGCTGATGAAGACATCGGTTGTAGGTACTGTTATGGGCTGGGTGGACTGGACGGAAGCTCATAGATGTCTCCACGTGACTTCTTGGGTGTATTTGGCTGCTGTTTGCTCCTGTGAAGTTCTGTGCTAGCTGAGGATGAGAGGACGGTGGCTGCAGGGTGACAGGTGGGGATCACAGGAGAATGATTCCCATGTGAGAAACTCCAGGTCTAAGAAGACTGCTGGGCTTTGACAGGGAGAAATATCAAATCCCAGAGGGCAGAGAGTGCATAGATGCATTCCTGAACATCTGAGCTGAGCTTCAAAGTTTAAGCTGGCTTCAGAGGTTTGGTCCTTTCCTACATCTGCCCTGCATAGTTTTGCAGAGACTGAGTTTGGCAGGTAGAACATGTGCCAGAAAAATCCTTATACATTTGGAGTGAAATTGCCCTGTCAATTCTGACTGGAGATTACAAACATTTTTTCCCTCTGCTATGGGGATAAAATTGAACAGTTCTATAAATTATGCAAGCCAGCATTATCAGGAGCCAGAATGCAATTCTGTCCTGAAGATAACAAATACAGTTCTTTACAAGGATGTGATTAATGATTGCTCCCTGTATAAGAACAACTTATGAATAATGAGACCATAGAACACTGTCAGGACTCTTTGGTTTAAAACATAAAGCTTTTGCCATTGTCTCTGATGGATGTGTGCATTGAAATTTACAAATAAATATCAGTTTGTAGACATTCCTCCTACCAGTCTATGTGCTGGAACTCAAGCATGTTTCTTTAAACCTGAAAGATGTTAAATCATGGAAGGTGCTACAGTGAAACTTTGGTTTGCAAGCATAATTGCTTCCAAAAACAGGCTTGCAATCCAAAGCACTTGTATATCAAAGCGAATTTCCACACAAGAAATAATGGAAACTCAGATGATTTGTTCTGCAACCTAAAAATATTAATATAAATTGATTACAGTACTGTAAAATAATACAAAATAATAAGATACAAAATATGAAGAAAAATATATTAACCAGTACTTACCTTTGAAAACTTTCATGGCTGGTGTAAGAGAGACAAGAGAGAGAAGGGTTATTATGTAGGAAGACTTTCACTATCGCTAATGGAACCACTGCTATCTATTGGCTCAGTGGAATCTTTTCCTTTTCATTCAGCTTAACAAGGAAACTATCCAATGACACTTGCTTTTGCCTCTTTTTGAGGATTTTGTAGAAAGGTGACATTGCATTGTTGTTAAACAGATTCATTGCTCACTCTGCTACAGCCTTATTCGGGAGATGCTTTTCTACAAAATTTTGCACTGTTTCTCACATTTTGCACATCCCTCTAATCTCATGTGAAGTAAAGGATTTCTTTGCTGTTTTCTCTTCCTTTTCTGTAGACAGATATTATCTCAGCTTGGGAATCCATTTGTGAGAATTAGTAAACACATGCTGATGCATTATCGTTAACTCAAGTCTGTAATTCACATCAGCACTTGCTCTTTCCACTGTGTGGTTCTGTAAGTGCTGGAAATGCACACTGCCACATATCTACCAACACAGTATTGTACAAAACATGAAAATTAATCAATTTGGAGACCACAAAGTTTTCCCAGGGGAAATCAGCGTAGCTGTTGGTCACCACTGAGATATGAAGTAGAGTTCAGGAAATACGATTGTTTATTAACTTAGAATAGTTTCCTCCCCAAGAAGACAGCATGAAAACATACTGCATTTTAAAAGTTTAAATTTACCAATTAAAAGTAGGCTGGAAGCAAATAACATTAATTTAGATTATTTATTTAGTTTTTTGGTAAAAAAAAAAAAAATCAAACCAAACCAGCACTCTGGGAGACTGAGGCAGGAGGATTTCAAGTTCAAGTCCAGCCTGGGAAGCTTAGTGAAACAATGCTTGAAAAAAAAAAAAGAAAAGAATGAGTAAAATAATCAGAAAGGACTGGGGATGAAGTTCAGGGTAAAGGCCCTTGATTCAGTCCCCAGTGATTGAAAATAAAAGAGGACAGAACAAAAACCCCCAAATTGCCAATTTTTAGCCTTTAAAAAAATCAGACCATTTAAAAAAACAAGTATTTTAAATATCAACAAGAATTTCCATGTTAAATAATGTGGCCTCACGGCAGTAGTTCAAGTAGTCCAAAAGGCTGCTGGCTCCTGCCTGCATCAGTGTGTCCTGTGGGACACACTTCCCCACTACTGACCCCAAATGTCCCAGGGGCTGTGTGGGTGGTAAATGACCATAGATATGATCAAGTGAATTTAGATTTTTCTGGCCACTTTTAAATTATTTTGGGGAGAAGAAAAATGGAAGTAGGGCGCCCTCTGCTGGTTAACTCGCATAAAAAGAAAACCAGTCAAAATTTCAGAGGTTGTTTTATTAACTGCTGTTGACTAAATCAAAGTTTCAGATATTCTTCCTTAACCATGTCAAGATGATTTTAAATCTTTGGGTCACATTATTATATTCATGTTCAATTTTATTGTTTAGTCATTGTATAGTTTGCTTAATGGGAACTAGTTTATTTCATGGATGGATACCTATAGACAGTATGTTTGCGGATAAGGAAGGGGACTTTCTGCTTCATCTAGATCCTGTATCCAGGGAGATCAGCAAAGCCATGACCACCACTCAAAGTGGAGTGGAGCAACTCAACAGGGTGAGAAAATACCCAAGCATGAAGCATCATACTTGGGCTCCAGGCAAGTGTCTGGTGTTCAAAAATCACCTGTCATCCCCACCTGCATTCTATCATTCATGACAAGGAACTAGAGGGCCCGGCATATCGCTTGGTTTTAAATGCTGCAAACCTATTCTGTTTGTTTTTGGCGATTAGTGAAGATGCATGTTTAAGGGAAAGCTGGAACCTTCTGTTCCCTCCTTCGTCAGACCCAGCTGCAAAAAGCTAGTGCTACCTCTTCCCTGAAGACCACTGAGAAGGACCTCAGCTTAGACTCAGAGTGGGACCCCATCCTGCTGTACCTCAACCCCCTGCAGCTTTGGGAGTCCATATCACAGCCCTGGGCTGGCTGGTACCGTTTCATTCCAACCCTGGTCAGAGACTGCCTGATATTAGAAATTTAGAGAATAGCAAACTACTCACTTCCCTTGTGCCAAACCTCAACTCACTTCCTGTTCCCTTTGAACCCATTTCCCAAACAAAATGCACATCAGTAAGTGGCACCACTGTCTACCCAGGTGATCACCCAAATGCCTGGGAATCCAAGTGGATTCCTTCTCTCTCACTCACCCTCCTCTGATCTGTCAGCAAACCCTGCTGCAATTCAAAGCCACTTGTGTGGGGCCACTGCCACCTTCTTCAGGAGCTGCTGCAGAGGGTCCTGGGGACCTCGGTGTCCCCTCTAGCCTGCCCCTCCTGCAGCCACCCTCCTGAGCAGCTGCCAGGGTGGCACCTTCAAATGTAAGCCAGAGTTGATCCTCTCCTACTGAATTCCTCCAGTTGCTTTCACTGCACTTAACACGATCCCCTCCTCCTTAGCCTTCAGTGGCTCCCACTGACTCTCCCAGTTTGAGTGGGTCTTCTCTCCTTACCTTGCTGCTGTTCCCACCCCGCTGCTCCTGACCCTTCAGGAGGCTGCCCCCTCTTGTTCAGAGTTGGCCTGGTGCTCCAGGGGCTCCGAGGGACCCCACATGCTCCCAGCCTGTCCTCTGGACACTTCACACATCACCCTGCTTCTTTCCTTCCCAGAGCTGGTAGGAGCTGAGTCATGGTGACTGTGCTCTCCTGGCTCCCTACCCCCAGTGGAAGGCTCATCAAGGAAGGACCTTGTCTACCCGGTTCAGGCTGCAGTGAGCAAGGCAGTGCTGGCTTCATGGAGGATACTAACGGGGATACCAACTTTAACATCGAGTGAGACCTGAAATTATTCAAGTTCCATTATTGCAATTCCTGGAGGTTGGTTTGGAAATCAGTCTCACAAGTCCTTGGTCTTTCTAGACATGCTGTGGCAGGCAATCAGCTGGCATGACCTCCCACCACTCCCGCCAGTCTAGTTGTGTCTCTGAGTTGACAAGACTACTGTGTTTACCTCTTATCATCAGTCTTATCACCTCATGTTGCTGTTATGGATGTATCTGCACCTTCTCTATAGACCTGATTATAAATATTACCATGAAGGCACTTACTTGTCTCTGAAGTCTTAGGACGGTGCACTTAAACATACCTGATAGATAATTGGTGGATAAATAAATGTAGGAACACATCCTAAGATGTGTTTCAATCGATGACACCATGGCAGGACACACAGCAGGGAACATCTGTGGACAATGCCAGGATGGTCACACTCTCTCTCTCTCTCTCACACACACACCTGTTGTGTGAAACACCAGCCTGTGCTTGTGGACAGCACGACAATACCACATGGTTCTCCCCACCATCTGTGTCTGTGGCATGCAGACTTTTCTGTCTCATCTTGCTTTGGCCTCTGGCCCTACCTCTAGCCCTCCAACGTGCTTCCTCAGGCTTCTCATTCTGTGTTGAAGGATCTACACCACCAAGTGCTACTTTTGAAGCCCTCTGGACTTTGATGCAGCAGAAGTTAGTCTTTATCCTCCTTTGTGAGCCACACGTTTCACACCCAACACACCAGCCTGTCCTCCCTCTCTTCCACTTGGCAGAAAGTATGCCATGCTTTTGTGGCCCTGACCATAGTCATCAGTGTGTCTTACACACTGACAGGTCCACCTGGGTACTTGGAACATCTGTGACCCACATTTCTGGGAAAAAAGCAAACTGTGTATCAGAAAAGTCTTGCCAGGCCTGACTTTGAGAACATGTCTGTGCTACCAACGAATCCTGACCCAGCAATATTTCTTATTTTTTCTGTGCAACTTTAAAATATCTCATTATTGGTGTTCTGAGACAATTCCACAAGGACAGCAGAAGACAGTGATAATGGCCAAGGTGAAAATGGTGTGCCCTTGCCCATTCGCCTAAGGGTCCTGCGTGGGGCTCTCTGTATTTTAACAAAGTGGGCTCCTTGTGCTGCTTCTGTTTATTCACCTTTGCGTCACTAGAGGGAGGTAGAGGAAAAGGTTTCAAAACAGTGAAGCTGGAAGATACACAGAAACCCAGTGCCAGCTTTGGCGAGTGCCCTGTGCCAGCCCAGGAACAGCACAGACCCAGTGTCAAAGCTGCTGGTCCCCAGGATGGAGGGGAGTGGCCTGTGGATAATTCAGTCAAGGCACCTGTCTGCCAGCACAGCAATGGGAGAGCCTTCCTCCTCTGTCAGTGAAAGGCATTCACTCATAATTGTTTTTTCTGCTCTTCCTTCTCTAAGTTGGCTGGAAACATGCCATGAGAATCACTTCTTTCCTAGTCTCCCAAATGTTCCCTTTTTTTATAGGTTGCAGAGTAACATTTTAAAAGTGTTAAAGTTGGCATTCTGTCATGAATCTTGTTGGGAGTGGAAACATACATAGAGTTTCTGTACACCTATCGTATTAGACAGTACGGCAGTGAGTCCAGTCGGGGCTGATCCTCCTCCTCAGCCCTCAAGGGGCTGGTGACCCAGTGTGCGAACTCGGGAAGAAAGATCTCAACTCTGCCAGGGTGTGACTCTGCCAAGCCTGACCTTCCCTCCTCCTGACCGGGAAACAGTGGGGTGACTCCTTTTCTTAGAACAGTTCCTCAGCAGTGACTCTGCTATTCTGGATAGAGTGACACAGGGGTCTTTAGAGGGGGTGATACATCAGTGCCTACCCTTCCTGGTACTTACAAACCCACAAAGAGGATGGAGCTCTAAGTTAGCCCCAGTTGGAGCACTGCTCTGAGGCCATCTGGATGTGTTCCTTTCCACAGCAGAGGGTGTCAGTGGCTCTGATAGAAATGTGCATGGAATCCATGCTGAGGGTTTACTCTGTGGCCCCGTCCCTCAGGGTTCTTCCACTCACTCCTAAGGGCCTGTGCCCCATGTCCATTGCTGCCCACTGAGCCACAGTGGCCCCTCTGGGAGCAGCATCCCTTGCCTGGGACCCTCTGTTTTCCCTTTCAGGCCACCTGCTCCATGGCCCCTTCTCCAGGACTGGGGAGCGTCCTGAGAGCTAACAGGCTCCCAGGTGTAGACGGCTTCTCTTGCTCTAACCTGTGGTTCTCAGGCTCTGGATGTCGTGGGATCTCTGCATCCACAAGCATTGTCACCTGCGGTGAACCTTGAAGGTGACACTTCGGGCAGTGGACTCTGAGAAGGTCAGGGGCCCACATCAGTCCATAGGTTGACTCGACAAGTGTCTGGGGCTCACAGGGTGGCTGCACTGGTTAGGGTGCACTCTTCTCTCCCCTCACCCAGGCTCTGGCAAAGTCTTTCCAGGCTCTGCCTCAGTTGTGGGGCAAGGCCTCCTACAAAAGAATTCAAAATGGGCCTTGGGGAGAGCAGACAAGGGAGCCCCTTTCCTGTTCCTGGGGAGTGAGGCTAGGGCTTGGGCTGGGCTGTCTCTCTGCCCGAGCTTGGCAGGAGGACTGTGCCACAGCCCACTTGTGTCCCCATCTGGTTGCTTGAGGGAAGCTGAGAAGAAGGTAACCCTGAACCTGGCAGCCTCCCCGAGCCCAGGCCAGCACCTTCCCTTTAATTACAGAACAACTAGTGCTTCATTTCATTCCGAAATGGAATCTGCTCCTTTTTCATTAAATATGTATGTCCCATAAAATATGGATTAGCCACGGGCCTTGCGGGTGAACAGTGAGCTAGTCTTTCCAACTTGACCTAAATTATTTGTGTTGGCTTTATGATGTGGAAAGCTAGTGTGTGCATTCCAAAGGCCCCTTCTAAGATGATTCCCATGCTCCACTCTCTGTATAACAAATGAAGGAGGAGGCCCGTGACATTCAGAAATGAGTGGCCTTGACTGCGATGAGAGCCCGTCCCCAGGTCCACACACCTGTCCCTGCTGCTCCATTCACTCTCCCGGGATTGAGGCCCCTGTGGACTCCAGAGTGGACTGCTTGGAATAGAGTTATCTTCCTAACACCAACAAGCTGGGCTTTGTTCAAAACACAGAGAAGACAACCGTGGGTTCTGTGCAGATGTGATAGTTGGACATGTGAAATGTAGTTTCGAGCAAGCAAAAAGGCATGCAAAGAGACAACAAGTGATAATTCATATAATCACGAAATGTGATTAAAGCTTGCACGGGGAGCTAATTTAAAACACGATTTAACATACACAGTATTTTATTCTTATGATCTCATGGAGGAAAAAGTTTCCTTTACTGGAAGTTTTGTGGTTTTATTGGCTCTGATGAGGTTTATGAAAATGTAACCTGTATTTTGAAGAGTTCTCTTTTCCTTTCCTCTTAATAAACTGAAACTAAAATTTAAAATGGAACAGAAAATTAAACACACTGTTTGCTTTATGGAATCAAACCAAACCAAAAGTTATGAATCATTTCTGGGGTTACTGAATGAGAGGAATACTAGAACATCATTTTCATTGCTTTTATTAAACTGATGAATTTTTATTCCTGAATAACATAAAGAGAATATTTACTTACAGGTGGGATACATATTTGCTGCAGATGTTTTTACATTTTTCATATTTAACAGTATTCTCCTCTTTGTAAGCACCTTCACATTTTTGTGTAAATAACGTTTATATCAAGCTCCTCATGGACAGGACAGTTACAAGACATAAGATCTCCTTCAATCCTTGGGATGACCGGGAGGGAGGGATCTCCAGCCTCGCTTTAGTGATGTAGAGAGATTCCATTTCTGCCCTGAACTCACATGGGTGGTGGTGGTGTCTGAGGTGTGACTGTTCCAGGTTCTTGGTATCTTGAGCACAGAACTGAGCAGGACACACAAAGGTTGAAGTGGAATCAGAGGCTTAGGAGCCAGGATCCTCTCCTCAGGATGGAGCTGGCTGGTGAGAAGAGCTCACAGCCCAGAGACACCAGGTGTCACAGCCTGTGTGGCTTCCCCAGGGAGAAGAACACTGTGGACAGGTGCAATGACTCATTCCACCCCTTCCTGTTGGAAGGGTTTTGTCCCTATAGTGACCTTTGAGGAACCATCATGGTGCCCGAGCCAGGGGAGGAGGTCAAAACCACAATGCAAATCAGACTGGGATGAATTATAGCTGAGTTGAAGCCTCCTTCAGTTGTTCAGGATGTTCTACAGTGCCTGCATCCCCAGGCATGGCATTGTCATTCAAAGCGGGTGCTCTTGGTAGTTTCTAGAACCATCTAGGGCCCCAGAATCCTACAGTGCAGGCATTCTCCTGTCTCTGCCAGCTCTGATCCAGCAGTCAGACCTGGATGCTCTCTGCGGCTTTTGGAGAGCTGGCTTTCAGCACGCCCTGGCCTCAAACCCCCTCCCTGCAGGAGTTTCTCCTCTCTCCCTCCCACCCCAGTGGCTGGCAGAGGTGCCTCGTGTGCATCATGGGATGTGCTTGATATTTCACACACTTCTGCAGTGGCCTGGATGCTCTTACTTCCCCTACCTTCATAGTTGCATGAAGGGATCTATTCTGTATTGGGAAAAATATAAAATAAGTGCAATATTTCCTACTGGAAGTTCTAACATGGTAGCTCGCTGCTCTGCACACATATTGATCTTGTAAGACAGCATTGTATCTGCTGATTATTGGTAGAGTGCAAACTCTTAAAAATGTAGATTTTATTGCACTGAGCTTCCCTAAGCATGGCTCAGTGCTGCACATAGGCAGTCAATGTTCAGAAAGTGTTTCTCAATGATAATTAGTGAAAAGTAAAGTAAAGACAGATTTTACTGGTTGATAAACTATATAAAGCCCTGCTATTTAAATCAGTTCAAATTTTTATGTCAAATACACAAAACATTTAAAGCTAATGAAACCAAATCATAAAAACTAGATTCATCTTACTGAGCCTCATGTTTAATGTAAACTTACATGTTGGTGAAATTATAGTTGAAGGTTTTAAAGATTCATTTTGATTTTCTGTTTCCTGGGGTCATTAGTATTTTGGATGTCTGTATTCATTTACCTGACAAACACACTGACCAACACCTGGTGAAGAGTGGAAGATTCTGCCAAAATTTGGTAAATCCCCACGGGTTAGAAGTAAATATTCTTAGTGTTAGGAAATCAAATTATAGGGAGGGGCTGAAAATGTAGCTCAGTGTCACAGTACTTGCCTAGTGTGCACAAGTGTGCAAGGCCGTGGGTTTGATCCCCAGCACTGAGATTGTATCTATGTCTAAATCTGTATCTATAATCTATATCTAAATCTACATCTGCAAATCTATAAAATCTATCTATAATCTATATCTAAATCTACATGTATAATTTATATATATGTCTAAATCTACATCTATATATACCTTATCTATATCTAAATCTATATCTCTAAATCTATATCTATAGCTAAACCTATATCTATAATCTATATCTAGTCTATAACCCATCTGTGTGTGGGAGAAAGTGTGGGGAGGGAGGTAGTATAGGTGAGCTAAATCGCTATAGCAGGAATTTTTTGTGTCAACTTAACCAGTGAAGGGATACCCAGATAGTTGGTGAAGCCTTATTTCCAGGTGCATCTGTAAGGCTGTTTCTGCAGGAGAATGCCCTTTTAAAATTATGTTTATCAATTGTCATGTTTATCAATTCGCAACTAATCATTGTGCATACTTATGGGGCATGGCAGAGCCTTGTGTGATGATCAGTCAGGATAGTTGGCCTGTCTGTCACCTCAAACTCTGATCGTTTGCATGTGGTGAGAACATTCAGAACTCTTTCTTTTGGCTGACTTGGCATCTACAGTCCACTGTTGTCAACAATGTCCTGATGTCTGCTCACACACCAGGACTCTTCCACTCAACTTTGATGACTTCACCCTGGACTGAGCCCTCCAAACCTGGCCTTTGGTTGCCTCTGTCCTGTTAGCTCCCTTATGAGGTCAGGTTTTGGCATTTGCTTCAGTGCCCTGAGCAAGGAAGAGCTGCCTGAGGCTGTGTGAGTGGCACCAGGCCAACCTAGAGGCCCCATGGAACAATCAGGCAGCCGGGAGGAGAGGCAAATCCACTCTCTCACTCTCACTGGGACCTGCAAGCCCTGCTCTTTCCTGCTCCTGGGTTCTGGGACCTCAGGTTCTCTGGCCTGGAGACTCCAGGACCAGCAAGTGCCCAGTTTCCTGTGCTATGGCCTCAAACTCAGAGTAACACCATCAGCTTCTTCAGTTCCAAGACTCCTAGGCCCTGTCTGAGCCCCACCACTGACTCCCTCCCACAGTTCTCTGGCCCACAGATTGTCTTCTGCTGTGTGAGCTCTCAGTTCCATGACCATAGGGACTAAATCCCCTCTCCTATATCAGTTTTTACAAATCCCATTGGCTCTGTCTTTCTGGAAAACCCTGATAATACTATTACTTTCTTCATAGTACAGATGTTAATAAATATAATTCAGATTTGATAAAGAAACTGTGAAAACATGTTACATAGATTTACAGTATCAATCAGCAGGTGCAGTCACAGCATATTTTGTCAAAATAACAGGACTGCTTGAATTTCTTAACTATATGCATATACCATTTCTATGTTTAAAATGAAGCAATTTTAGTACCATGTATAGCAAGAGTGTGACTGTGAATATAAATGGAGCCATCTTTCTGGAGGATATTTTAGCAAAATGTATGAAGAGATAAAATATTTCAGACCATTCGGCTTTGAAGTATTTATCCTTAGGAAATAATTAGAGATACAAAATAAAATTTATACTCAAGATATTCATTGAATTTAGTTTTTGCATCTAATGGTTTAAAATTATAGTATTTAAAGTGCCACAGTAGAGATTAGCCAGACAAGCTATGGAACATTAGGCAAAACAATGCAAGGTGCTATTAAAGTTCATGTTATAAAACATCATCCAGAGACAAACACAAAAAATAATCACCATATGGGCTTCATTGGAGAGAGGCTATTTCAAGAGTATCCTCCCAATTGTGTTAAATATATGTGATCGTTAAGGCGGTGTTTTGTATCCTTTTCACACCAACCAATTTGTTCCAATAAATTTAAGTGCAGATTCCCTGAGATGAGTTTTTCTCTAGAAGGAATTAGCATGGCAACTGTGTTGATGCTTCTAAGAGCCTCCACATAATAATGTTAAATAATATTAAAGAAAGAAAATTAAATTACCCAGGAATATGTGGATTTTGATTATAGATGTGTGAAGAAAATGAACCCATTAGCTACACATGAAACAGAGTAGGCTATGTAAGGAAAAATACAGGTAATTTATGAAAGAAACATATCAAAATATTAATAGATTATACTTCTGGGTATTGAGGTAGCAGGTACTGCTATGTTTCTTCTCAATTTTCATTCCAAATCTTCCACAGAATAGAAAGTGATGTCTATGTATGAGCATTTATTTTTCAGTTTTTTCTATCAAGGATCCATTTGCTCATTTTTCGGTAAACTCACCTTCTTTTTCCTGTGTTGCCCAACAAGATTACATTGTGTGGTGTTGGCCAAGCATCTCAGCCAAGAATCTGGGTAGAGCTGGTGACCCTGCCATTGCCTGTTGCTGGCCACAGGGACTGATCATGCAGAGGTGTGAAGGTGACCATAGCCAGAGCTAGAATTCCTGAGAGCATCTTTGTGTGCCCTTGTCATGACCTCTCTGCACGTGCAGCTCAGGGTGGCACTGTGCAGCTGTGGGTCAGTACACAGGGTACATCCCAGCCATGCTGCTCTGGACCTCAAGGCTACATGGGCCATGTAGTCCTTTGTTCATGTGCTCAGTCTCACATTCACAGCAGTCCAGGTGAATCTTTACAGGTTTCCTGATTTCCCTTCATTCATTTTTTTTTTGGTACCAGGGATAGAACTTGGGACCTTGCACTTTTGAGGCAGGTGCTAGAACCACTGAGCTAAATCCCTGGCCCCCTTCATTCATTTTTTTGGTGGGAGCTCACGCTGGAAGTCATGATCCCTTGGTCATAAATCTCTAAAAGGAATCATAAAGATTCATTTTGCAGACTGACTAATTATATTGGAACTATTTTCCTCCTTCAGTTTGTACTGAAATAGAGGAACTCATTTGTTCTCATTAAGGAAAATACTTAAACTTATAGTGATTCATTAAACTTCTGTAAAACTCTCAAATGCATCTTAATTGAGAAAACAAATGTAACACAAAAGCGATTATTCTCTCTCATTTAGGCCAGTTCTCACCCAGATCAGTAGTAGGAGAATGTTGTAATTTTTCAATTAGTTTAGGCAGAAAATATTTAAAGGCATTTTTGAATCAAGTGTCTACACTTCTCACCCATCTATGATGAAAATGAAAACTTACCCAGGGTGACCTCTAGAGCTGTCACAGCAAAGCCTGACTTCCAGTGGTCCTCTCCAAAAAAACTGTGATGAAGCCTTTTCCACCTTAACTACAGGCAGTGATGATTGTCCTGCCTTTTATCTTGCTTTCAGGAGAGAGAGGGCAGGGATCTTGGCTCAGTCAACACAAGTCTGACTGTTGTATTAGGCTTGGTTGGAAACAGTCAGCAGGTGCTCTGTGTAACCCTGAAGGATCCATCTTTCTTAGCACCAATCTGAGGCTGTGGTTGGCTGATGGCATGTTGGCTTCAGTAACTAGAGAGATACGAGTGAATCGGAGCAAAATCTTTTAGATTAGTTAGCTTGTACCAACTTATTTTTAGACAGTTCCAGAGGGTACTCACCTGATGTCCAGTGGTTTGAGTTTTACTTTTTACATTTTTAATGAAAGACATTTGGATCCTCAGGCACTTTGCTTTCTTGACAGAATTGGGATTCTCCAGTGCTTCCTAGCAAAGGTCCTAGGACCCACTTTCTACCTTCTTTGTGCACTTTCCTAGGGCAGCTCAGATCTTTCAGAATTATTGAGCATTTTGTGCATCAGAGCAGCAAGTGAGAGCCCAGAGAGACACAGTAAGCACTGGGTCTCCTGAGCTTCCTTGATTGGGCTGGCCAGAACCCAAATGTGCTCTGAAAAGAAGTCCATCCTTTAGAGCCTAACAATCTTTCCTTTCACCTGTGAACACACAGCTTGAAGGTGGGCTTCCTGGTGTGGCAGGAAAGCCACAGGGTCTGAGCTGATTCCTGGCTTGTCTTCAGCAGGATTTGTGCCTGAAGCTACACTATCCCTGCCATGCCTGGAGTGCTCTGCCTCCCCTTCCCTCTTCGTTCAATGTTAACTACACTACCTATAATGCTAACCAGGAAGCGCCCCTCTCAAAATAACTGAGACATGATCCATAGAATCCATAAGTTAAGCCAAACTGGGCTCGGTGCCCAGAAAAATGAGGTACACTCACTTTTAAGAACCGAGGAGGTTTTAGATATTGTATGTATATGAGTTCTTCTATACTGTACATACACATATAATAAAATATGAAGTGGCTCAGGCAATATGAGTAGCTTTTGAAGATCTAAAAGTGCCACTAGCTCCTGTGGAGTTTTAGGCATCATGGAAGGAGACACCTCTGGTTCTTCAGATTGAGAGGAGCATGCTGGCAGCAGCTGCCCAGAGCCCTGGGTTTTGTTGTGGTTCCACATCATTGTCCCTCCCCAACACCCTTCCCTTTCCCCCCAGTGGCTGTCTCACATGCCTGGGGTTCTAGACAGAGAAGTCAAAGGCTTTGGGTGAGGTCACAATTTAGAGATTCTTGAAATAGAACACACTTAGGAATGCTCTTTACCCCAGCTGCTGGAAGAGATAAAAGTTTGAATTTATCATAGTATCAGATCCTAGGAACATGAATACTAAAACTTTTGAAGGCCAAAAACATGCAAGTGGGAGTAGATGAGACCGCAGTGTCCTCTGGACCTGAGCACAGCTGTCACTTCAGGTCGGTGTCCATGAAAGCCCATAAGCTGACTTCACAGGCAGTGCTGCTGGAAGCTGGTCTGAGCAGCCTTGGTCTACAGGAATAGGTAGAGAGCAAAATAAAGACAAATAACAGGAAGCAGAGAGATAGATTTTGTTCAAACGGGAAGAGGTCAAGGGATGGAGGGAGGGGAAGAAAGGGAAGGGAAAGGGGATAAAAAAAAAACTAAGATGTGCTCCGCCTGTGCACCAACTCCACACAAGGAATGTGATCTTTATGTACTGCAAGAGTACTAATAAAAAATGAAAACTGAAAAAAGAAAGAAAATTAAAAAAAATTTTTGCAGCTATAAAAAAAGAATACTTGGTTAGAATTTGCCTTTTTTAAAGCTGAGCTACTCAACCAGTGTAGTAAAAGGCAGGTAGAGTCATTGTCAGGAGAATTCAGGCTACTGAGCTAAAAGAAAAATATCACAAAAAATAATGGAAACAAGCAGAAAATTTGCTTTAGTTGACAGCTAAGGAGCTTGGGAGACTAAATTTATTTCTTTTTTTTAAAAAAATAAACCAAAACAGAGGAACAGAAAATAGCTATACTTTTCAGCAGGGGTAGGATTGGACTTGGAAATGAGGAGAGAGGTAGGCCAGGTAGACATCATTAGCATTCACCCCACTCTAGTGCGGATGGACATGCAGAGCAGCAAGTCAGAAGCCAACTGCTATAGCAAGTATAATTACAGAAAGGACCAGGCCAAGTCATTTATGCAGCAAAGGTAAACATTCACTGTTACATAGTTGTGAAATGCATTTTATGTTATGGCAGCAGCATGGTACAATTCAGAAATAATCACTGGAAGCAAGGCACCTTGGTCAATCAAGTATCCAGTTTTACCTTAATATACACAGTTGTCCCTTGGTTTCCTTGGGGGAATTGATGGGGGATTGTATACCAAAACTTGTGGTTACTCAGCCCCTTAGGTACAATGGCATAGTACCCTTGGGTACAATCTCCGTGTAACCAGTGCACAACACCCAGATATTACAAATCACATCACTTAATAACACTTAATATAATGTTACACTGTATTGTTTAGGGAACAATGACAAGGAAAGATATCTATACGTGTTCAATAGAGATGCAATTTTTTTTTCCTATGTTGGATCCGAGGTTGCCTGATTCCAGAGACATAGAACCTACTGGTCCAAGAGTTGTGGCAGTATGTCCCAGTCGCCAGCCACCAAGTGGAAGCTGCAATTACAGTAAGACTGGAGTCACCAACACCTACCCGTTGTTCATGCACATTGGGGAGGACACAGGCTGGACATACATAGACATAAATGGCATCTGAGAAGGCACTCCCAGGGCTCAGGGAAACCGCCTGGTCAGAGACAGTAGAGTGACCCAACCAGGCCAACAACCATCCAGGGCCACCTGGAGCCAGAGAGCTGGAGGTGCAGAGAACATTCCCTGCACCCCCAGCACTGGGGACTCAGGGAAGTGCCCAGCAAAGGAGGCTGGAGAGGTCAGGTGCCTTGTCCTTCCTCCAGCTAAATATTAATAAGCCCTTAGGTTTGGAATTTTATCAGATTCACAGGAACCCCCTGGAGGGCTTGAAGCCAGGCTAGGTCTTCCCATGGTAGAAGAGCCTTTGGCAAGAACCTGGAGTTGGTGTGAAGGGACTCACCCAGAGATGCTGCCACTCAGGAGGCTGAGAAGGGAGCTCCCACAGATTGGAGACCAGTCTGAGCAGCACAGCAAGACTCATGCAAAAAATGAAATGAAATTAATTAAAGAGAATCTAGTGTCAGTTGTAGCTCTGTAGCAAGTAACCTCTCTATGTGTTGATGCCCATCTGGATGGCTTTGATCTGCTGCATAGACCTTTTCTGCTCTGAATCTAGTGTGAATGAGCAGACGCAGAGGATGAAGTTGCTAATGGCAGGAAGAGTGGGGTGTCCTGGCTCTGCCCACTCCCCCTGCCCTCTGTGAGTTTTTAGGTAGCATGGAGACTGCTCATTATCCTGCTGGGTATAAAGTGGCAAGTGCCTGTTTCTTCCCCTGGCCCAGGCACAGGTGATTTTATAATTGCTGAAATTATTTGCATTTGGTTTTTAATGATGCATTTAAAAACATTCATCCCATTAACTTATGGAGGCAAAAACTCACTTTTGCAAATGTGGGACAATGCCATGGTAACTCTCTGGCTACCATTTTTTTTTTAAAACATATTGCTCCAAGTTTTATACCATTCCTCTCTCATAAAGGAAAAAGAAGAATTCTGCACATAACAAGGTAGAAGATAAAAACATATTTTTACAATAAGAGAGATGTCTTTTTAGCCATAAGAAAATAAATGAAATAGGCTGGCTCATAAGTTATATGCCTTGTCCTTCCTCCAGTTAAATATTTATAAACCCATAGGACAGCCTGAGGGTCTTATTATTGCTATATTTAAAAGCCTCTTAACTGAAGTCACCTTCAGCAGTGAGATGCCATGTTGGATAAGAGCAGATGAAAGCATCAGCATTGTCTTCCCCACAGTTGCTGGGGACTTTACCCTTCAGCTTACACCAAACAAACCTTTTCTAGGCCCAGAACCAGGACTGCACTATCTCAGCAGCCCTTGGGAAGCCCTGCTGTTTGCAGAGGCCTGGAGGGTGTAAATCAGGCTGAATTCTAAAATCACATAAAGTTATAGAAGAACATAGATCAGTGTGTTGTAGCTATTTTCTTTGCAACTTCCAGGAAATCACAGTGCTGATAATGAACATTTAGCCTTTGAAAAACAGTTTAAAGAAGAAAATGTAAAACAAAATCCTATTTAAGGATTTGTTTTAAAAATCGTCTAACTCCTCTGTATTTAAGAGAACTAGTTCCTTTTCTTTTCTTTTTTTTTTTTTTAAGAGTAGGAAAAATTTATTGGGAGAAAGCAAGCTTCTGCCTAAGAGAGACAGAAGGGGGACCAGAAAGTGGGCTGCCCGCTCACCCCACATTTCAAAAATGTTTCATACAGCAAAGCCATGTGGTGAGGTGGATACAAAGTGGGACAAAACTATAAGACCCAATAGAAATTTACAAGGTGGGCATGAGGTGGGACAAAACCATGACCAACCAATAAGATTACAAGTATAGTCAACCAGGTAACCTTGATTAAATGGGGGAGCAAGTCACACACCAAGCGTACAAAAATTTTCAGTAAGTGTAGGTCAGGGATATTTCCGGGAAAGACTGGGTTAAGAATTTGGCTCCCACACAGTGACTGATACCTGTTTAACATATCAGTCACTGCTATTCATCCTACATGGGTGTGGTAGTTTCTCTCCTTTTACAATGTTGTCCTTCAGTGAATGTGTCTTCACTGCCCTCCAGGTTGGCTCCTTGACTGTCCTCCATGTTGGCTCCTCTTGGGCTTGTGCCTTAAGGGAAGTCCTGTCTGTCTGCCAACAAGATATCTAATTAACTTACCTATCTATAATATTCCCCCATCTGAAGAAGTACCCATAACTGCTGTGAGGGGGCAAAGGGCAAAGACAGCTGAAGAGGGTCATAGTTGTGATCAGCAGTTAGAGTCACTCTACAGAATCTATCTAAAGACCTTCAATAGGTGCCAGGTATTGTCATTTTGGTAGCCATATAGCTTTGAGTCTGGAGGATACAAAGCCAAGAAACAGTTAATTCATAGACCAAACTATAAGGTCAGCAGGCTTGCTATGAATATAGCCAACAAGGGTTTCCACTGGGAAGAACTAGTAATAGCCTCCCACAAAGAGGATAAGGAGAAGGTCCAGGGGACTTCAGAATCCAACATAGAAGTTGTATTGTATAGTTTAGCAGTTATAAGCTGTTTACAAGGTCAATCTGGTGGATCCCAGTAAAAGAGGTCTAGAACATTTGTCATTGGTTCTATTTGTATGACTGTTTGGAGTTTGGCAGCCTCTAGGCAAGAATAAGCAAAACTTTCAAGAAATTAGAGCATGTACAATCTAAGCATGAGCACACTAGAATGAAAGGGCAGGTTGGGAAGAAAGTCACATTAGAAATTGAAATAGTGATTGTAACCTGCTGGCTCTTATAGATTCTACCATAGATTTTTTTGTAATGAACCATAACTGTGGTCAGCTACTGGTGTAGCTAGAAACTGCCAGAAGGGGTCAGTACTCGAGCCCCTTTTTATATCTAGCTTTATTACTATGGCATTATTTTATACCTCTTTTGGTTATTCTTTTCTACTGTGTGTTAAAGTTAAAGTGAGACATGTCAATCAGTATGAACCTCTTGCTTTCTATCAAGGTCAGTCAAGTTTCCTCAGGCATTACTTTGGAACCATGCATAGAGCCTCTCATCTCCTCTGTCAGTGTCAGGTGTCAGGATGGGTCACGGCCTTGCTTGACCATGTTGCTTTCAGTGAAACCATGGGAGACTTATCCCTCTTGGTGACCCTCTTTTGGCACATGGTACATTTGTCCTCTGGTGTCCAGCAATCTCCCTGCTCAGGATGTTGAGTGACTTACCAAAGATGTAGGATCCTGTAGGAAAGGTTCCTTTGTGTCCTGGATCTTAGGTTGACCTTGAGGGGCCAGAGCCAAAATATTGGCTGTCCTCATACCACAGTTACCTTTCTAGATTTGATCTCCAAACTTTAGTTGTTAAACACCCAGAAGAGAAGATCAGTGACATAAGTATTTCAGTAGGAGCAGTGAGCTTAGCTATTATAATAATTAAAATATCAAGCACTTTTGAAGTATAGAGCACAGTTAGAAGGCTGTTATTTTACCAACCATGGGCATTTAGTGGAATCTCTGTAGAATGTTAACAGACAACAGTTATACATTATATAGAGAAACTTAAGGTCAAGAGCCACACATAGTATTTTAGCATGGCAATCATGACGACATTTTCTTTGTAACACTTACTTGTCCATCTTAGTACGGAATAGTTTTTCATTAAAACACCTCCATCTGATCACAAGACTTTAAATGACATAAAGAAAACTCTTATTTGTTATCCTTTAGTAGGATGCCATCTAAAGAGAACGTACATATTTGGGCTATAAAGATACCTTACAAGTTCATAATGTTTAGTCTCTAATTTTAGTATGTGACATTGTTTCATCTATTTGGCAACTGAACATCCCTAAGTGTGGTGACACATATAACATACATTACATAAGTTTTTAAGAAAACTACTATTTGACTGGCCTGCTTATGCTGGCTTGACATATACCTCTTATCACAAGTAGCTGGAGTGCAAGAGAAAGGCAGATACCTGAATCAAAAAAGATCATTACCATAAACAATATCCTAGGAGATTTGTACACTCAGAAGGCAAGAATGTATACACCATGAAATAACAATGAATATCAGTTACATGAAACCATTTGTCCCTTAATTTTGTTTTGTACCAAGAACATTTTAAATAAAACCTTGTTTTCCCACAGAAAACTTACACCATGACCAATATATACATATTACAATAATATGTTTAGCAATGTATTTTCCATGAGGCTATGGAAATTATTGAGGTCCCCTTTGTGAACAAAGGCTGGAATAAATTTTTCCAGACAGCCTCTTCTTTAAAAGGGGAGTCCTGTCCCATAGTTTTCTTAAACCCAAGAGTCTTCATTTAATTATCTTAACAAATTTTTAGATGATGTATGACAGCCAGATCATAACAATTAACACATTATTTTTGACCAGTGAAAGATTCCTGATCAACAATATGTACTGTATTTGTAAAACCAGTTGACATTATTTGGATAATCTGGCAACCTGGGGGAAGCATGTCTTTAATTATATTTATCTATAAGCCAACTTGCATTACAGGGAAATATCTTTAAAAAATCCAAAATACCAAAAGGAGAAAAGCTCAGTCATAACAGCTATATGTGTTGTAACAAATTGGACAGACAGACACACATGTAAGACAACTTGTTTATAAACAAGAGTCTCAGATGTATTTGGCCAAGTTGAATTATAATAACTTTTATAATTTTTAGATTTATAACTATAAAAAAGACGTCAGAACTTTGTAGATCAATTAACAGAGATTTCTTGCAATAAGAATCAAAAGGAATAAAAATCTTATACACCTGTGAAGGCAAAAACGGTTTTAAGATGGGCCCTAAGATGACAGTTTATCTGACTGGATGGATGCCCAGCTACACAGGCTTCACATGATTGCTTTGATAACCACAATTGTTTGATAGCCACATGTAATTGTTTCCTCTAAAGGGACAGACCATTAAAGGTAATTTTAATTATCTCCACTGGGGTCTGCTCAGGCCAGGTTTGCATGTAGAAGAGACTAGGTGACACTCTTTGGAGCTAAGTACGAATTCTATGCAGCAAG